ACTAAATAGTAATCAAACATGGCAATAGAAAATGCCCAACTAAATAGTAATCAAACATGGCAATAGAAAATGCCCAACTAAATAGTAATCAAGCATGGCAATAGAAAATGCCCAACTAAATAGTAATCAAACATGGCAATAGAAAATGCCCAACTAAATAGCAATCAAACATGGCAATAGAAAATCCCCAACTAAATAGTAATCAAGCATGGCAATAGAAAATCCCCAACCAAATAGTAATCAAACATAGCAATAGAAAATCCCCAACTAAATAGTAATCAAACATGGCAATAGAAAATGCCCAACTAAATAGTAATCAAGCATGGCAATAGACTCAATAGAAAATGCCCAACTAAATAGTAATCAAACATGGCAATAGAAAATGCCCAACTAAATAGTAATCAAACATGGCAATAGAAAATGCCCAACTAAATAGTAATCAAACATGGCAATAGAAAATGCCCAACTAAATAGTAATCAAACATGGCAATAGAAAATGCCCAACTAAATAGTAATCAAACATGGCAATAGAAAATGCCCAACTAAATAGTAATCAAACATGGCAATAGAAAATCCCCAACTAAATAGTAATCAAACATGGCAATAGAAAATCCCCAACTAAATAGTAATCAAGCATGGCAATAGAAAATCCCCAACTAAATAGTAATCAAACATAGCAATAGAAAATCCCCAACTAAATAGTAATCAAACACGGCAATAGAAAATCCCCAACTAAATATAGGCAAATCTATTTGGGAATATCCTCGAACTCCATGGGAAATTGATGGAAATTGTCCATTGCTATGTCTGATTCCATAGAGTTCACCCGGAAAATTCGCACAAAATAGGTATGCGGTATGGGTCAAAATTGAAGGCCCGCCTAGCCAGGAAATTTGGACACGTACTGTATCAAGTGCATCTCTTACCCTGGTTTCATCCTCAGATTCAAACATTTCTCATGAAACTCAAGCATTCTGGGAATGAGTTGATTACCAACAAATTCCATTTTCCACTTGCGGAAGGCAATCTGAAACTGATTGTTGTTCGAAAATTTTATCCAAAGAATCTGGAAAATCCACCAACCCAAAGTTGCATCGCTCAACGCCTCGAGTTTCACTTTGCCATTGACCAAAAAGAGGAGGCACAGCAGCTCGTCCTAGTGACGATCTTCCCAGCTGCGAAATGTGGGATCCCAACAAAACCGACAGGATACGACAGGATCCAGCTGAAATCGAGCCAGAAAGATCTCAAAAAATGGTCCAATTTCTCTCCTGGTTTCTCAGTTTCCATCCCCTGAGCTGATTAACTGCTCGGACCTGCCCATCATTGGAGCAACCATCCACCCTGACATGACTGATTGAGACAGATTCGACAGCGAGGAATAGGCCCAACATGAACCCCTTGGGGGTATTAAGGGGCAGCGAAAAAATGCTCATGATCTGGTCCGTTAGCAGAGCCAATTGGTCTGGGTCCCCTCCCAAACAAACAACTGGGATCAAATCATCATCAACGATCATTGTTAGTGTCGCTTCATCCACTTCTGTCTCAGGAATTTTGATAGACATTTTGATGGGGTTTTTCTGGTTTGTTTTCTCCACCTATGACATCTTAAAACTATGATCAACTTTCAATCTGCCATGGCCAGGGACCTTCGAGCAACATGCCAGCATTGACGTAGCTTCCAGGAGCTCTCTTAGCTCCGCCACCCTGGGATCGAATTTCACTGTTCGATCTTTTTGGTGGTTGCTATAATTTCATTATATATATATACATATGTGTATGTAGACGTATGTATATATATATACACACTATTCATGGATCGATATGGATATTTATACTCTACCATATAGACACATATTATACATACAAATACCTATGTATTACGGATGTAAGCTACAAATATGAAAATATAACCTCCACGAACGAGGCTATATCCTCAAAAAATTGGGATTTACATGGCATACTCTGATGCTTTCGGCAGAGCAACGGAGACATGACCAGCAACTATGTGTACATTACATTACATTACATTACATTACATTACATTATATTGTATTATATTATATTTATATTTATATCTATATTATACTATATTATATTATATTATATTATACTATATTATATTATATATTATTATATTATATTACATTACATTGTGGATTGCATGCATGCCTCCAATATTCAATGTAGAGCCTGGAACTTTGCACCTCAAAAAACATGATTGTCGAAGCACTGGAGTCCACTCTGGGCTCTTTGGCTCCGCGCTTCTCACGACTTTGCATCACAATGGACTGATCTTTTCGGAAAGACCTGCCGACAGGGAAGTGGTAGTGGTTTTGAGGCTTCCCGACTGCGAAATTTCCATCATGTTCAAGAATCCCGGGGAGAACAGATGATAACAGATGGTTTGATGATGTTTGATGTATCTGAAATGTGATGAAAGTCATCAGTCCACCAGCCTGAAATGTTGGTTATGAAGTCTGTGTTTCAATATACAGTATGTATATGTAATATACATGTATTTCTATACATGATTCTACATGTGTGTTTATGTTGAAAAAAAAGCACGCGTCCTAGTCCTAATCACTTCGTCAAAAAATCCCAAATCGTGAAACCACATCCAAATCCCGAAATTGGGAGTCCCCAAAAATGGATCAGTTGATCCCAGGAATTTGGTTCAGCATACCCTCTGGTAATTTGTTACATAGCTATTGAAAATGGCCAGTTATAGTTGATTTTCCCATTAAAAATGGTGATTTTCCATAGTTATGTTAAATTACCAGAGGGTATCCTCCCGTGGGTCCCAAAAAATCTGGCTAAGACCTGGGAAAATGGGACCCTCAAAATCTGGGAGATGATCATCCTCCCGTGGGTCCCAAAAAATGTGGCTAAGACCTGGGAAAATGGGATCCTTTTTGATCTGGGAGATGATCATCCCAGGCAGAAACCATGTCCGACAAGATGCATCTCCAAGTTTGTCATAGTCCAAAAATTACCCCAAAAAAAATCCTCATGGTTTGTCATAGTGTTTTGCCAATTTTTCAGAACATGTTTTTTCCCAAAAAAGTTCGGCGAAGTTGGGGTATCCGAAGTGACCTACCTATCGCACCTGCTGGAGGAACTCCGCTTTGCCTCCCAGGCGTCGAACAAAACGTGGCGCGCAAGGCGACCAGTCGACTGGTTGCTGGTTAGAATTCCAAAGTCCCTAAAAAAAATATGAAGTGGGGATCATCATCCCAGATTTTTCGAAAAAAACTGTCTAAAAAATGTGTGAAACAGCCAACTGTTCGAACATGATGTCGCACCTTGTGGCATCCAGGCCTCGGGAGAAGTGGAGCCACCAAGACCTCAAGTTCTGCCACAGAAAAAAAATACTCATCGAAGCCAAGATGGCCAGTTTAGCCAAGATGTTCTTATGTACTTTCAGTGTCTTTCAATCTCAAAATGTTGATCTTGTTGATGAATTTCCCATCATCTTGGTGTTAAAACTTCACCAATTCATCCACACCCTGGGTTTAGCCGATTAAAGGTGGTGATTTTCCATAATTAGGTGAACTCGCCAAAAGGTGAAGCCCCCCCCAAAAAAAAACAGAAACATTGGCGGTCCCCACCGATACTCCGCGCCCTCCCAAGGGGTGACGCCGGGACCTGGCAGATGGAGATAGAAAAACCAGCAGATCATGTTTGAGACAACTTAAGAAATGCCCGTTCTACCATGATATCTACTGATCATATCTGATCTAGATTCTAGATCTACCAACTATATCTATAATAAATTAATGGCTTTATATGTTAAACTAATGGAGAATGTGGATGCAACGGAGACCTCCTTGATCCGGACAAAGCTGGGCCCGACCTGATGCGGATGGATCAAACCCTTATGTATTCATATACACATGCATATATGCATATACTTATATATAATTATATATATATATATGAGTATGTAATTACATATTATATACCTATATACATGTATGTATATATGCATATGTATGTTGATATGTTCATATGATATGTGTCTACCTATGATGTGTCAACATATGATATGTCTACATATGTGTGCATTTTAATGTGTACATACATTGCATATATATATATATACGGTGTTTGCTTTGCTGTGCAAGCAACCCTTCAGCCACGTCCAAGATTGGAGGACAGGGCTCGTATCCACCAGACTCATCCATGTTTCACCTTTGCACTCAATAATAAGTTGGGATGTGGGTATATTGACACTTAATGTATATTGACCCCTCATGCATATATATATATATATATTATATATATATATGTATATATAAGTATATAAGTGTGTGTGTGTGTCATAGAAGTAATATTCTCCAGTCTTCTAGATCAATATACCCACATATACCCGCATTCCATCCACCCAACTGGCGAAGATCGCTGTGAAAGCCATGCCTCCAAGGCCGGAAGCTTTGTCCATGGCCATGACATGGGGTCACCTGCCAGCTGCGGCATGGCCCAGCAAAACTCAATGGGGGTTCAATGGGGGTTCAATTGGGGGTCCAATGAACCCACAGAGGTATCAGAGTTCACTCTCAAACCATCCATGTTTGGCGAATTCATGCGAATTTAAGCCATAGCTGGATAGGAAACACATGGGAAATCGCACCAAACTTGGTGGCCATGGCTCCTCATAGCTCCTCATGGCTCATCGGAAATCAGCATCGCGCAAGCGCGTGACCCAATAGGCTTCTGTCGTTTTGACTGCTGACTGTCATGTGATTCCAATCCAAAATCCAAAGAGACTCGCTGAAAGCCGTTCTATGCAAAATCACCTGATCATTGGCATTCGTGCCATCGGGCCATCAGCATCATTTGACATGCAAGATGAGCCAGCTGGGCAGGTCTCTTTGGACCCACTGGACAAGGGCAGACTTTGATTTCCCAAGACCCTGACACTTCTGGGATCGTTATATAATTGTTATAACCAGGGCTATAATCCACTTGTGAATCATTAAGGCTTCCCCTAGCATTATCTAGTATTCAGCCTTCAAACAGGTGGGAGAAGATTTAATGACCCTTACCATGGCACATTTTGCAGAAAAATGAGTCCTCAACGTTCAACCGAAAAAGGTCATGGAGAACTAAGACATCATGCCCATCATGCGTGGAATCCTATCTATAATATCCCTTTCCAAAGTGATGCATAGCCCATGTTGGCACTCAGATACCAAGCCAAAGAGTCCATTGAATATCATTGAATGGTCACCAGATTCGTGGTTTGTAGCTGAGACACATACAAAATTCATCAAATTTCCCCATCATTTCAGTGGCAAAAGTCGCTTCCTCCCGGGCCCCCTTCGACGCTGCGCCGTGCTCCTCCTTGGGAAAGGGCAGCCATTCCGGATGCTCCGCCTGCAGATACTCCTGGCCAGCTCAGAGAAAATGGTGGAAGGCTTCCCCATCCAAGCTGTGTTCAATGAGGGGTTACCCTCTGGTTATGTCAAAATAGCTATTGAAAATTGCCATTTATAGTGGATTTTCCCATTAAAAATGGTGATTTTCCATAGCTATGTTAAATTACCAGAGGGTAATCATGGATCATCTATAGATGATGGCTGGCAAGGGTTTATCTAACTTGTTTCAAGCTGTTTTACATGAGTGCCACGAGTGATAGTGGTGGTTTTATATGGCTCAACATGTACATGTTGGTTGGTGATGGTTGTTCTCGCCATCATTGATAATTATAGTAGATCTCTTACAAACCAGTGTGTCATCCTCAACACACACCCCTCAGGTTGCCACGTAAAATGTGCCCAGGTGTTTACTGGAAAACCGGGATTATATGATTTATATTATATATTATAATTGATCATATAATCCCGTGACCCATGATAACCCGGTGCTAACCCCATGTCTGTTTCTTAGTGGCCACCCAAAACCAGTGACTTCACTCGTCTCCTGAAGATTGGGGAAGAGATGGTCCGAGTAGTCACTTCGCTTTGGCGCCTCGTGCGACAACGCAACTTGGGGTTCAAAATAGCCTCCTTCGCCCTGGAGAGATGCTCTCAGCAGACTAAAACGGCTTCAGTATCCAAATGAGGGAAAATGCATTCAACTTTTGAGATTGAGGATTAGAGCTATTTTACATTCATCATGCGCTATTTGTGTCTCAATATGTTTATATATATATATATACACACATACATACATACATACATACATACATACATACATACATACATACATACATACATACATACATACATACATACATACACACACACATACATACATACATACATACATACATACACACACAGACATACATACATACATACATACATACATACATACATACATACATACATACATACATACATACATACATACATACATACATACATGACATACATACATACATACATACATACATACATACATACATACATACATACATACATACATACATACATACATACATACATACATACATACATACATACATACATACATACATACATACATACATACATACATACATACATACATACAGTACATAAGTACATACATACATACATACATACATACATACATACATACATACATACATACATACATACATACATACATACATACATACATACATACATACACACATACATACTACATACATACATACATACATACATACATACATACATACATACATACATACATACATACATACATACATACATACATACATACATACATACATACATACATACATACATACATACATACATACATACATACATACATACAACATACATACAACATACATACATACATACATACATACATACATACATACATACATACATACATACATACATACATACATACATACATACATACATACATACATACATACATACATACATACATACATACATACATACATACATACATACATACATTATATGCTATATATATATATATACACGAACTAACAAGATGTGCGTTACATTTAGGCTAAAACATGTATTACACATCTATGTTCTACATGCAAACATTGCAGCTCACACTCGTTGTGGCCTCGTGATTTTTCGAGCTCCTGCAAGCGTCCAAGGCGGCCTGAAGCGATCGAGATTCTGGCAGTTGTCACTTCTGAAAATGATGGAATTAAGTGACAAAAAGATATGACATAAATTATGGACGTATTATTAATCCTGTGACAACCGAAGTATCTATATCATTCTATATCTATCTTTTGTAGATATATGATGATGTTCGCAATGCTAGCTAAAAATTATCATATATGATCTGAATGTCAGAAACAACCATATGCAAAGTGATCTTCGACCGTAGAACACACCAAGGCGCACCTCGCAAGTTCCCGCGACCCGCCAACCATTGAAAGCTGGCAAGAGATGATGACCTCAGTGGATGGCCCCGTGAATCGAAAATTTCTGGCATTGGTAGCCCCAAGAATCGAACATGTTGGAAAAAGTGTTGGAAAAAGCCTTAGATTCATCATCCAATTCATGCAACATCCAAATCATCGGAGTTTCTCCCCAGTGTCTCTTCGGGCCTCAGAGATGGAGTATGCAGTGCTCGGTTCCCTGGCTACATCGATGCGCAGTGTGCTTGTCCGTTCGGTCACATTTGGAGCCGCAGCACGGGCAGATAGCGCTGCAACCTTTGATCAAAGCCCAAACCTGGCAGTCACCCAAGCCAGCTGGAGAACCAAGATATCTGGGTAAATTATAATATTTCACTAACCTGAATTAAGGCCATTTGGGGATGATTTCCCTTAATAACCATGATTTCCAGTGAGGCCGCAGTGAGGTCGTTATAATTTACCCAGAAGATATGAAGGTGTCTCAAGTCATGGATCCCCAGTCATCATCATGGTGACTTTCAGCCCTTTCAGCCACTCAAAAACCTGGCCTGAGCCTGTTGAAGTTGCAGTGCAGCCTCCAGCTTCTGAGCCACCCAATCTTCCACAGGCTCCTCTGTTGGCGATTTTCCCAAGGGGAACATATTTGGAATCCGACAGAAGCCCAAAAAAAAATGTGTGAACTGCAGTGAAGGTGTCTTGTAGACATGTGTTCTTTGGCCTCAGAGAGTGGATGTTCCATGACAAAATGGGATGTTTTTTTTCCATTAAACGAAAGTTTCGTAGATCTTCCACGTTTGAGTTCCCCGAATTTCACATGATTTCAGTGGCATTTCAGGAACCTCAATTGGAGCTACACCCTACATTCATTTTAGTGGTCTGAAATGGAAGTGTCCTAAAATGGGGGGGTACACCCAAATCATCCAGTCGTCATGCATGACCATGACTTTGTTTTGAAACAAAGAAATGGTGACGATCGATGAGTTGCTGAAGCAACCACCATGCCAATGGGGCCAATGGGGCCAACCTTCCCAGTGAGACCTTCCCAAGAAGAGCAGCCAGCTGTAAGGAGAACTCGTGAGCGAAGTGCGAGGGCTCCTGGATCCATGGAGATCCATAGAATTTTCGGCAGGCACTTAATAGGATTCATATAACAGGATTTAAATGGGATTGAATGTGTGTTAATGGTACTTCATAGGATTTAATTAATGTGCTTTGCTACAACAAAACCGGATTTCATGTGGCACATAATGCTACTGAATATGATTTAATAGGATTTTTCATGGGATATATCAACCATACCTGGCGCTGGGTCTGGAAATTGGTAAACCCATGAGGATCCAGGAGCAAAAGGCACACCACCCGGTAGGGTGATTTAACATACACAATCCCTACCCGAACTAAATGAAGGTGTGCTGTAAATGGGAAAATATGGGAAAATAATCTATATTTGTTTTCACTTGCTATGTTTGATTATGAAAGGATACCTAAAATGATGTTTTTCATAGCCATAGCCCATAGCATCCCGTAGCTACCTTTGTTTGCCGGAGGGTAATACTGTACCTCCTGAGCGCATTGAGTCAGAAATCAACCTTTCGTTGGGGCTCAACCATGTTGACCTCAGAAACTTGATGCTTCAAACAAGAACAGTAGATATAGAACCAACAATATGCACAAAAGACCTCCCAATGTTTGGGTGTCACCTCCAATCTTCATGATGTGGGTAAATCCCGTCATTTTCAGGTACCAACCCAACAATCCCAACATCTAATATCCGCCGACCCCGGCTGCGCAAGGGGGAGCGCGTTAGGGAATAAGACAGCAGCACCCAGCCAGTAGCCAGCAGTCAATATCCGCCGACCCCGGCAGACGCAAGGGGGAGCGTGCCAGGGAATAATACTTTTGACTCTTGTTTCGGACTACTACTACTACTACTACTACTACTGCCATGGTGTTTTCCCATCCGGCAGGTGCCTTTTGAACAGAAGGAGTCACAGGAGCAGGATGTTTTCCCATCCGGCAGGTGCCTTTTGAACAGAAGGAGTCACAGGAGCAGGAGCAGCAGCAGCAGCAGGAGGAAATAGAAGGTGTTTGACAAGACGGTTATCATCACAAAGGCAGTTCTTTTTTTTTCTAGGATTTCAGAAGGGACGTTAGGCACTTTTTGGGCTCGATTTTGGAGCGTTTTGGGCACGAAATTAGGTGGCGTTTCAGCGTTTCAAGTGGTGGCCATGAGCAGCAGCAGCAACAGGAGCAACAGGAGGGTTCTATGTCTCATTGCACAAACAGTGGTATAAACATTGGTCGAAAACTATAAACATTGGTATATTATTGTGATTGATTTTGCGTCATGTTCGGCACGAAATTAGGTGTCTGGCTGCTGGTTTCTTACTTTATTAGAGGCAGTAGCAGCAATCAAAATTAGAGATCAAATTGGACAAAATTAGATTTCTATTGGACAAAGTTGGATTTCTAGTAGGAGTTCAGAAGGGACGTTTCGGCCCCCGAAAACCTATTCTTGTGATTGATTTTGCGTCATGTTCGGCAGGAAATTAGGTGGTGTTTTGCTGTTTCGGCTGTGTTTTAAAAAAGGTGTCTGGCTGCTGGTTTCTTGCTTTATTATAGGCAGCAGCAGCAGTCAAAACTAGAGATCAAAATTGGACAAAATTGGATTTCTAGTAGGAGTTCAGAAGGGACGTTTCGGCCCCCGAAAACCTAATATTGTGATTGATTTTCCGTCATGTTCGGCACGAAATTGGGTGGTGTTTTGCTGTTTCGGCTGTGTTTTAAAAAAGGTGTCTGGCTGCTGGTTTCTTGCTTTATTAGAGGCAGCAGCAGCAATCAAAATTAGACATCAATCAAATTTGACTAAAATTAGATTTCTATTGGACAAAATTGGATTTCTAGTAGGATTTCAGAAGGGACGTTTCGGCCCCCGAAAACCTATTATTGTGATTGATTTTGCGTTATGTTCGTCACGAAATTGGGTGGTGTTTTGCTGTTTCGGCTGTGTTTTAAAAAAGGTGTCTGGCTGCTGGTTTCTTGCTTTATTAGAGGCAGCAGCAGCAATCAAAATTAGAGATCAAACTTGGACAAAATTGGATTTCTAGTAGGATTTCAGAAGGGACGTTTCGGCCCCCGAAAACTTAATATTGTGATTGATTTTCCGTCATGTTCGGCATGAAATTGGGTGGTGTTTTGCTGTTTCGGCTGTGTTTTAAAAAAGGTGTCTGGCTGCTGGTTTCTCGCTTTATTACAGGCAGCAGCAGCAATCAAAATTAGAGATCAAATTTGACTAAAATTAGATTTCTATTGGACAAAATTGGATTTCTAGTAGGATTTCAGAAGGGACGTTTCGGCCCCCGAAAATCTATTATTGTGATTGATTTTGCGTTATGTTCGTCACGAAATTAGGTGGTGTTTTGCTGTTTCGGCTGTGTTTTAAAAAAGGTGTCTGGCTGCTGGTTTCTTGCTTTATTAGAGGTAGCAGCAGCAATCAAAATTAGAGATCAAAATTGGACAAAATTGGATTTCTAGTAGGATTTCAGAAGGGACGTTTCGGCCCCCGAAAACTTAATATTGTGATTGATTTTCCGTCATGTTCGGCACGAAATTGGGTGTTTTGCTGTTTCGGCTGTGTTTTAAAAAAGGTGTCTGGCTGCTGGTTTCTCGCTTTATTAGAGGCAGCAGCAGCAATCAAAATTAGAGATCAAATTTGATTAAAATTAGATTTCGATTGGACAAAATTGGATTTCTAGTAGGAGTTCAGAAGGGACGTTTCGGCCCCCGAAAACCTAATATTGTGATTGATTTTCCGTCATGTTCGGCACGAAATTGGGTGGTGTTTTGCTGTTTCGGCTGTGTTTTAAAAAAGGTGTCTGGCTGCTGGCTTCTTGCTTTATTAGAGGCAGCAGCAGCAATCAAAATTAGAGATCAATCAAATTTGACTAAAATTAGATTTCTATTGGACAAAATTGGATTTCTAGTAGGATTTCAGAAGGGACGTTTCGGCCCCCGAAAACCTATTCTTGTGATTGATTTTGCGTCATGTTCGTCACGAAATTAGGTGGTGTTTTGCTGTTTCGGCTGTGTTTTAAAAAAGGTGTCTGGCTGCTGGTTTCTTGCTTTATTATAGGTAGCCGCAGCAGTCAAAATTAGAGATCAAAATTGGACAAAATTGGATTCTAGTAGGATTTCAGAAGGGACGTTTCGGCCCCCGAAAACTTAATATTGTGATTGATTTTCCGTCATGTTCGGCACGAAATTGGGTGGTGTTTTGCTGTTTCGGCTGTGTTTTAAAAAAGGTGTCTGGCTGCTGGTTTCTCGGTTTATTAGAGGCAACAGCAGCAACAAACAGTGGTATAAACATTGGTCGAAAACTATAAACATTGGTATATTATTGTGATTGATTTTGCGTCATGTTCGGCACGAAATTAGGTGTCTGGCTGCTGGTTTCTTACTTTATTAGAGGCAGTAGCAGCAATCAAAATTAGAGATCAAATTGGACAAAATTAGGTTTCTATTGGACAAAGTTGGATTTCTAGTAGGATTTCAGAAGGGACGTTTCGGCCCCCGAAAACCTATTCTTGTGATTGATTTTGCGTCATGTTCGGCAGGAAATTAGGTTGTGTTTTGCTGTTTCGGCTGTGTTTTAAAAAAGGTGTCTGGCTGCTGGTTTCTTGCTTTATTATAGGCAGCAGCAGCAGTCAAAATTAGAGATCAAAATTGGACAAAATTGGATTTCTAGTAGGAGTTCAGAAGGGACGTTTCGGCCCTCGAAAACCTAATATTGTGATTGATTTTCCGTCATGTTCGGCACGAAATTGGGTGGTGTTTTGCTGTTTCGGCTGTGTTTTAAAAAAGGTGTCTGGCTGCTGGTTTCTTGCTTTATTAGAGGTAGCAGCAGCAATCAAAATTAGCGATCAATCAAATTTGACTAAAATTCGATTTCTATTGGACAAAATTGGATTTCTAGTAGGATTTCAGAAGGGACGTTTCGGCCCCCGAAAACCTATTATTGTGATTGATTTTGCGTTATGTTCGGCAAGAAATTAGGTGGTGTTTTGCTGTTTCGGTTGTGTTTTACAAAAGGTGTCTGGCTGCTGGTTTCTTGCTTTATTATAGGTAGCAGCAGCAGTCAAAATTAGAGATCAAAATTGGACAAAATTGGATTTCTAGTAGGATTTCAGAAGGGACGTTTCGGCCCCCGAAAACTTAATATTGTGATTGATTTTCCGTCATGTTCGGCACGAAATTGGGTGGTGTTTTGCTGTTTCGGCTGTGTTTTAAAAAATGTGTCTGGCTGCTGGTTTCTCGCTTTATTAGAGGCAGCAGCAGCAATCAAAATTAGAGATCAAATTTGACTAAAATTAAATTTCTATTGGACAAAATTGGATTTCTAGTAGGATTTCAGAAGGGACGTTTCGGCCCCCGAAAACCTATTATTGTGATTGATTTTGCGTTATGTTCGTCACGAAATTAGGTGGTGTTTTGCCGTTTCGGCTGTGTTTTAAAAAAGGTGTCTGGCTGCTGGTTTCTTGCTTTATATAGAAGCAACCGCAGCAATCAAAATTAGAGATCAAAATTGGACAAAACTAGATTTCTAGTAGGATTTCAGAAGGGACGTTTCGGCCCCCGAAAACTTAATATTGTGATTGATTTTCCGTCATGTTCGGCACGAAATTGGGTGGTGTTTTGCTGTTTCGGCTGTGTTTTAAAAAATGTGTCTGGCTGCTGGTTTCTCGCTTTATTAGAGGCAGCAGCAGCAATCAAAATTAGAGATCAAATTTGACTAAAATTAAATTTCTATTGGACAAAATTGGATTTCTAGTAGGATTTCAGAAGGGACGTTTCGGCCCCCGAAAACCTATTATTGTGATTGATTTTGCGTTATGTTCGTCACGAAATTAGGTGGTGTTTTGATGTTTCGGCTGTGTTTTAAAAAAGGTGTCTGGCTGCTGGTTTCTTGCTTTATTATAGGTAGCAGCAGCAGTCAAAATTAGAGATCAAAATTGGACAAAATTGGATTTCTAGTAGGATTTCAGAAGGGACGTTTCGGCCCCCGAAAACTTAATATTGTGATTGATTTTCCGTCATGTTCGGCACGAAATTGGGTGGAAAACCTAATATTGTGATTGATTTTCCGTCATGTTCGGCACGAAATTGGGTGGTGTTTTGCTGTTTCGGCTGTGTTTTAAAAAAGGTGTCTGGCTGCTGGTTTCTGGCTTTATGAGAGGCAGCAGCAGCAATCAAAATTAGAGATCAAATTTGACTAAAATTAGATTTCTATTGGACAAAATTGGATTTCTAGTAGGATTTCATAAGGGACGTTTCGGCCCCCGAAAACCTATTATTGTGATTGATTTTGCGTTATGTTCGTCACGAAATTAGGTGGTGTTTTGCTGTTTCGGCTGTGTTTTAAAAAAGGTGTCTGGCTGCTGGTTTCTTGCTTTATATAGAAGCAACCGCAGCAATCAAAATTAGAGATCAAATTGGACAAAATTAGATTTCTATTGGACAAAATTAGATTTCTAGTAGGATTTCGATTGATTTTGCGTCATGTTCAGCAGGAAATTAGGTGGTGTTTTGCTGTTTCGGCTGTGTTTTAAAAAATGTCTCTGGCTGCTGGTTTCTTGCTTTATTATAGGTAGCAGCAGCAGTCAAAATTTGAGAAAAAAATTGGACACAATTGGATTTCTAGTAATCTAGTAGGATTTCAGAAGGGACGTTTCGGCCCCCGGGAAGCTTGTTATTGCAACTGGCTTCCGGGGAACTTGTGATTGCGACTGCTTTTGCGTCATTTTCGGCACGAAAGTCGGTGGTGTTTTGGTTTCGGCTATGTTTCGCAAATGGTGTTAGGCTGGTAGTTTCTTGCTTTAGACAGCAGCAGGAGTCAGGATTTCTAGTCGGAGTTCAGAAGGGCTGTTTCGGCCTCCGGGGAATTTGTTATTACGACGGATTTTACGTCATTTTTGGCATGAAATTAGGTGGTGTTTTGCTGTTTCGGTTGTGTTTCGAAAAAGGTGTCTGCAGTAGCAGCAGGAGCAAGAGCAGCAGCAGCCAGCAGCCAGCAGCAGCCAGAGCCAGTAAGCAGGCAGCAGGCAGCCAGTTGTCAGCAGCCAGGAGCCATCAGCCAGTAAGCAGGCCAGCAGCAGGCAGCCAGCAGGCAGCGGGTAGTAGCCAGCAGACAGTAGGAGCAGCAGCTTCCTTGCTCAATAACAACAACAGCAAAATAGCAACAACAACAACAACAACCAGCACCAGCACCTGCACCACCACCACCACCACCACTACCAGTAGCAGCAGCAGCGGTATTGGACACAGTGCAGGAACATAACAAACTGCAAGCGGCATTGGACACAGTGCAGGAACATAAACTTGATGGTAGCAGTATCAGCAGCAGCAGCACTAGCAGCAGCAGTCAAAATTTGATTCTATTGGAGTTCTAAGCGGATTTCCGAAGGGACGTTCCAGCCTCCGGGGACTGTTATTGCAACTGCTTTTGCGTCGTTTTCGGCACGAAATTAGGTGGTGCTTTGCTTCATTACCGAACCGCACGAAATTAGGTGGTGTTTTGCCGTTTCAGCTGTGCTTCGAAAAAGGTGTCTGCAGCAGCAGCGGGAGCACGAGCAGCAGCAGCACGAGGAGCAGGAGCACGAACATCCGCAGCAGCAACAACAACAACAACAACAACATTAACAACAACAACAACAACAACAACAACAACAACAACAACAACAACAACAACAACAACAACAACAACAACCACAACGACGACAACAACAACAACAACAACAACAACAACAACAGCAACAGCAACAGCAACAGCAACAACAACAACAACAAGAAAAACAAGAACAAGAACAACAGGAGAAGAAGAAGAAGAAGGAGGAGGAGGAGGAGGAAGAGAATAATTGTTTAAATCTAAAAACTTACTTTGCGCCGGCACTGGTCCACTGATATGTTTTACAATATCGTCCTGTGTCATTTCTGTGTTTCGATTGGATTCGTCCGTGTGATTTTGTTGATGCCACCTTCGTGTTGCAGGTCGGGCAATAATGGGCATACTGCCTATATACTGCACCATTCTTGACACGAAACTCTCGCCCGCAGTGTCCTTGTGTTTGCACCTTTCCGGTAACTATGGTGGATTTTGTAGCTTTGCCGCAAGCTGGACAGACATACGTTCGTAGTGACGCACATAGCCCTTCGTGCATGATCCTGCATGTGATAATGCATTTGCCAAAGTTTCTCGTCACACAGCTTGCCTGTTTCACCAGCAATCCCCGATTCTTTACCGGGGTCGGCGGCAGGGGCGGCAGCCCTTAAATATGTTTGATGGTGTACACCCTATCCAACTATTCAACTAATCCCATCCTAAGCCCCCATGGGGCCCCCATGGTTTAGTAGGGGACCATGGTCGAAAACGGGATGGGATTCTGACCATTTTTTGATGCTTAAAATCTCCAGCCTAAAAGAAGTTGACTCACAGCACCGAGGTCGATGGTGCGGGTCTTCAAGCGACCAGTCATGACCACATTCCTGGGCGAACCACGGCAACGCTGATCATATACTATGTATAGTATCATTTATATGTGTGTGTGTGCGCATGGAAAATGTAATTGATATCACAACATACATGTACCAATTAGAATTGAAGAAACATATGAGTATACATAAACTACGTCATATATATATATACCATATATACAGTGCATGTAGATCTATTGTAAGTACAACGTATAGTATACTAAGTATAATAATAACCATAATATACATATATATATACATTATGTAAATTATTCAAATTCTTCTGAGATATGTGTATGCGCCTGGATGGACTCATGCATACTAAGCTGCTGCCTAAGTCGCTCTTGTCCTGGCTCGCTCACTGTGCACTTGCCACCAAACAGACACAACTACATTAAAATACATTACAAATACCATCAAACATCATTGAACATCACGAACCAACGATCCACCAGTCCTACTAAACTTCATCCTGTGAAAACTTCTAGTGGTTTTTACAGGGATTCCGCTGGGGATTCCGCTGGTTTTGCGCCCCCAACAGGTGGCTGGTTACTGATGCAGCATGTAGCGGATCGAGATGAAGCCACTGAAGACCATACACAACTCGGCCGTGAAAGCCAGCAGCTTGCCCTCCTTCAAAACAGGAAATGACACGGTGGAAACCAGAGGAAAACATAGGAAACCTCTGGGCAGAAGGTTAATATGGTATGGTTATAACATATATCATGGTTTCATGTGTCTAACCCCCAATAAATTGGGAAACCATAGGAAACCTCTGGGCAGATGATGATCATGATCAGAAACCCAACTGCTCCACTTAGAAAAAACACCAAGCACCACTCCATTGTGAATCGACATGAGCCAACATATTTACACATAGATCACGTACTGTGTGAATATAAATATAACATAATATAACGACATGATTATATCCCCCAAAAATATAATTTGAATATGATATAAATCTAAAAATATAGTATGTGCATCCATCCCCCAACAAAAACGTCGGAACATCGTAGCAGCTGCCTTGCCTCATGCGAGAGGTAGGTAGCCGCTGCACAGTTCACCAGATTGCCCAGGATGGGAAGAATTCCGGTGCGCGCGCCAAGACCTGAGGGTTGCGGCCTACGGCTGGGTTCTGCATGTACAGTCCTGATTTTTTTGAAGTGTCTCTTAAACAAACAAAACAATATCAACAAATATCAATATACAAATGCCTTAATATGTATATGCATTTACTTACATATGCATATTGACTTACATATGCATATTGCATATATATATATATATATTGTATATAAATACTGTGTATATATGTATGTGTATATATATATATCTACCCATAGATTTTTCTGTGATTTTGGATTTAAAAACATCAGAGCAGACAAAACCTAGGCTCCTTGGGGGTTGGGAAGTACGAACCTGGAATCATTATGAACACTGATTGATGACGTAGTACTTGTGCCATTGATCATGAATGAGTACCAAAGTAATTATATATATATACCAATTGAGAATTAATATATATATATAGATAGATAGATAGATAGATAGATAGATCGATAGATAGATAGATAGATCCTAATAGAATAGATCGCTCATAGCTCGATAGCCTAGATAGATAGAACTAGTAGCTCGCTCGATAGAAGATAGATCGCTGCTCTCTCTACATATTCTCTATATCTTCTCTCTATAGATATACTGATAGCTCGATCGCTCTCTATAGATAGCTAGATCGACTAGAATGAGATAGCTGATAGATAATCGCTCGATCTCTCTCTAGCTCCCTCAGCTACTATAGATAGCTCTCTCTTCTCTGCTTCTCTCGCTCTATCTCTCTCTCGATCTCTCCTCTCTCCTCTTTCGCCTAGATAGATAGATACAGATCTGTACGCTGTACATATGTGAAAATAGTTAGTCTTCCAACTTTCATTGGCTGGCTCTTTGCGGAAAACAAATAAATCAAATCATCACACCTCACTTTTATAGGCCACATATCTCAGCCCAGCTGTCACAGAGCAATCGCGGAAATGCCGTGATCAGTGATACGTTCAAGACCTGGGCGCTTTTTTGGAGTTGCTTCTTATGGGCCCATGGAGTCCATAGGAGTCCATGACATGACGAAGCGTCCCAGTGTGAAAAGTCCAGTGGCATCTTCCTCCTGCGTGAGGAAGAGTGGAAATACGCACAAGGTCTGCATGACGATATACCAAAAGTCCAGGTTCCAACTCGCGAGCACCTGCGACTCGTTATGACTCGTTGGGGCATGCCAAAATTTTGCCCAATTTTTTGCAGTGAACCATGAAAACTCAAATGATCCCAAAAAACTTCTCACATCTGAATTTGAGTTTCTTAAGGGCATTATATGTAGGAATAGCTCAAAATCCTTCTACCCTGATGAGCCATCCAAAACCATTCAGAACCAACAATACACTGAATGGTCTCTGTTGGAATCTTCATGCGTATTCATGCACCCAAATTTTGAGGCTATACTATAAATTGGAAGTGAACCATAGCCTTGTACCTACCTCTGTTGTTTGAGTGCGAATATGCTTGAAACAACCAGATAAGGCATGGCCGATTCACCCACTGGTGTCATTGCTAAGATTCCTTATGACTAGGATGTATCAAGGATAGGGCCCCATTTGCCAAGCGACTCAAGGAATATATATATATATATATTATATATATTATATATATATATTCACTCTACCTTAGATAAATGCTACTACAGTTATATACATATTCCATAGATGAAGCAAATAAATGCAAATCATATGCAAGAACGTCCCACATATGAAAATTCAACCTTCCAACCATTCAATACAGACCAGACCTGCGGAAAGATGGCAATCAGCGCGCAGAGTGGGTAGGAGATCCTGGCGATGGGTCCCAAGAAATGCCAAGAAACCAAAACGTTTCTGGTCAACATACACAAAACTATTGAAAATGGCCATAGAAAGCTCGTTGATTTCCGCATTAAAAAATGGTGATTTGCCGTAGCTAACTGTTTACCAGAGGCGAGCCTCGATCAACGCCGTTTACCAGATATGTTCGGGGGACAAATTTCAGTGATTTTTAGGAGGTCAAATATGGTCAAATCAGAAGCCCCTAAAAAAGTGGCAATCACTTACCTACAATAACCTGGATCAACCCTGTTCTACTTGCCAAATTGTCCATTTGCTGATGCCCTTAGAATCCGTGGTACAAACTGGGTATCTCTCAAATCATACCTCGAAGCACTCAACACATCAAAGAATTTCATGAGATGCTCAAGGCAATCACAAACAGCACAAACATGTCCAAACCAGGCATCATGTTGGCCATGGTAATCGCAAGGAGACCGAAATAGCGTAGGCCACTTACAACCAACTGTTCTTGGATTTGTTTTTTTAGCCTTTTGGAGCATCGTCCCACCCTCTTCCATTCAGCAGTGAAATTCAGCCAGGGCACATGTTGGACACATCTAAGGATGGCTGCAAATTGTGGCTGATCGTGCCTGTCCGCAACAAGGGCGCCTGCACCGCCATCAGTCTCAGAAATAAGGCCATTGCCATTAGGACGATTCCTGCCACAGCCGGGTGTAGAATGTGGCCAACATGTTTTTGGACAAGATATGACATATATATATATAACCGTATATATGTACAGTGATGTAAGTATACGTGTGCAACACAGAACAAAACTCTTCATCTAATAGACATATAGATATATATATATATATAAGCCAATTCTATATATATATATATATATATATGTTTATTATACGTACTCAATGGCACACACTTTTACAGCAATGTTTATTGTTATGACAATCACTACTAGTACCAATGATATCAATCATGTATCAAGATCACCAATATCATCAATGTCATTATTTTTCTGTGTTGTATTGTCATTAAGTGTTGTTTTACTTGTTTGTAGTCCTACTATATATATATATGTTATTATATTCTGTTACTTAGTAGCCGTAGCATGCATGTGCATATATGTATACATATGTATTTATATGTGTATGTGTATACATATATATATATTATTCATATATATAATTGAATATCATATATATATATGCACATACAAACATATGCTATGTACACACGTATGTCTTCAGACTTCAGAAGTCCTTCTGCGGCACTTGCCGCTCGAGTTTCCATGTTGCGAATTCCCACCTTTTGTTCCCTGTATAGACTGGTGCTATCTGGTGCTTTTACGTCGTTGCATGGCTATACCACAACGTCGATCGCTTCGGGATGTTCCAGGTAGCAATAAAGCATTGAGAAACATGAACAATATTGAACATACTATCATGTGGTTGTCATGTGATTGGCAAATGTGTTTGGTAAACTCTTAGTAGCTCCTTAGCTCCTCATGACCATGTTGTTTTCGGTAAAATGGATACCGATAGCTCCGAATCGCTCCCTCTGTTCACCACCAAATGGCTAGAGTATATGTCAGACATGTTAAAACAACCAGCCAGTAGAAGATGATATCCTCATTGATAGTCCACAAACAACGTCATCTTTTGCTGGTTGGCCGGATATGTTCCATTTAATTCGCAAACAACTTTTAAAAATGATTTCTAGCCAGCCAGTCACTGATATCCTGTAGCCCTCCCGTCATAAGTCCTGTTCTTTGCATCTGGACCAGGTTCTCCACAAACTTCTTTTGGACGATAGGGTCATCATCCTCCATACACCTTGCTTTTCTCCAGGGGTAGGGGAAAGGGTCAACGGATTCACGGTAAAAGAAGACCAACAAATGGGGTGTAAAACCCAACATTCCAAATTTGAATGGGGTACATCATGATGAAACCTCTTTGGAGGGCTCCCATTTGCAGACAACACCCATCTATATGAATGATATTTGCTGAACCGATTTGGGATGGGTCAAAACCTATTACTACATATTACTACCATATGTGGGGGCATAAACATCCATTAGCCAGCTATAATAGCTGCTATTTCAGGGTACCATCCGGGTACCAGGGTTTTGACCCATAACTCTTTTTCTTGACCCTCAAGAAAACCATCATTTCATGGGTCAACACGTTTCAAGAATTCCAGAGAGAGAACCAGCATCGACCAGCACCTCGGGGTGCAGTTCCAGTTATAAGATGTTATACGTGGTGATATAAAACCAACTTGCGGTGGTCATTACTTGCGGGGGTCATAAAACCATGGTTATATCGTTTATAAACCCAACTGGGCCTCAAGTAGCCGTAGCTACCATGATGACCATCTACAAACTGTTGGGTATAATCTGCGAGATCCTTTTGAAACTTCTGTAGGGATTTCTGAATTTCAGGTGTTTTTTGAAAGCCACACCTTGAAAGCAAGAGAACTTCACCAGTTCACAGCCCAAGCAGCAATTCCCAGACCTTCTTCCACAGCACCATGGCTTGTGATTTGCATCCCCTGTCCAGGGCACTTTCTACGGTGTCTACTTAGTTTATTTGATGAGATTTTGCTGTTGTACTCACCCACTACAATCTCTGCATTCTCATCAAAGCCCGAAGCCCAATAAGCAACCAAACCTGAACATGTTCTGGCGGTGTTTCCATTGTTATGCTAGAAATTCCACTCTGGAGCAGCTGGTGTGACTCGAATCACCAGATCCCAAGTATTGTGTCTGCGCCACGAATCAAAAAATATTTGAAAAAAAGAAACGCAGGTTGAAAATGAAGGTGGTGACCCTAACAATAAACCTCCAAATCTTCATCAATTTTCAGGATTGTCTACTTGGGGGTGCATCCCACTTAGTAAATGGGTTGTACCTCAATATATTTATGTACATATATATATATATATATTCTTGTTATTATCGTGTTATATATATAATATATCCCCACTTATATATAGGATTATAGGGAGTACCCATGAATTGGCACCTCAGAAAGCCTTTCCATTTCTTGGCAAAACAGCGGCAACCTGAAGGGCAGCCCGATGTCACAGGGCGGGTGAATTCCTACCGATGGATACGTTGGAGAAACACCGAAAACAATTCCCCACACAAATAATATAGAAAACTATAGATATATCAGTTTGAATTATCAGTGTCTTAACTATCTATCTATCTATCTATCTATCTACCTACCTACCTACCTACCTCCCTATCTATCTACCTATCTATCTGTCTGTCCGTCCGTCCGTCTCAATCTGTCCGTCTCTATCTATCTATCCATCCATCCATCTACCGATTGATCTATCTATGAATCAATTTCCGAACCAAAGCCTCATTTTTTTGAATAGTTTAGGGTCAGAGAACCACTATCCGATGCAACAGCAAGCAGCCCCTTTCGAGGTGAATAACAACATATTTCAACAGCCGCAGGTTGCAGTGAAGTGACGGATACATAGAACAGCAACTATCAGCACTGTTGCTGCATCTAACCTCAGTATTTCTGCCCAATGATCCGATGATGATCTGCAGAAATTTGTTGAGTGGCAAACGAGTTTTGATGGCTTCACAATGGAATATGTTTAATTAACATTCATTAACTACAGTAGTATATATTCGCAAATCATCTCAGAATGAAGGATGTAGTTACAAAGTAATACTAATAATAACAGAAAAATATAATAAAACATAATATATAATAATATATATATATCATATATACAATAATAATACACGCCGAAACCTGTTGGCATGACTGACAAATGGATGCTTTTGTCCACCATTTTCAGCGAGATCGTTGTGAGGCCGTATGATGTGATTCTGGCATTTTTCATGCATCAAGCATAGTCAAACTAAATATACACATGTGCACAACATGCTGGGCAATACACTGTACCCTCTGGTAAACTAACATAACTATGGAAAATCACCATTTTTAATGGGAAAACTCACTATAAATGGCCATTTTCAATAGCTTTCTGTTAAATTACCAGATGGTAAATCAATGGTCACACTCTTCACTGGATTAGCAACTAAGCAGCCACCGTTTGGAGATAGGCTTGTCATGGCTTGTCCAAAAATGGAGTCAGTTTTTCACAGACCAATATTTTCTCGCTTTCCCCTGCAATAATCATCATGAAATCAGCATTTGGATTTCCCTCATTTAAGTGACCCACATGGAAAATTAGTCCAGGCTTCATGAAACGAAATGCTTTGGAGTCCCCCGCATTCTGCGTTCGAGGCACGTCAGAAGGGTAATGAGCCGGGCCCGTTCTGCCGTCTCGGATTCGAAGAACTCCATGCCAGGGGCGTGGATCGAGCTGCGGCTCAGCCGGCCCCCTTGATCCAAGTGGCGAGGTGGAAAGTTGTTGGACGACTGGACGACCTTTTTTTTTGGGTGCAACCCAAAGCCCACCCTTGTCATCATAGTACCAGTATGTGGGCATCCTGGCAGCGAATTTGCTGTTGTCAATGTATTCTTCCATGAATTGCAATCAAACTTTGAAGAACGCGACTGCAGAATCATCCGAGGGATGCGTCAAGACCGTTGAACATTCTGATACTTCCTTTCAACATCTTTAAACACCGGTTTGCCCCTACTTTCAGGAGGTTCATTTTGAGCCATTGAGCCATGCCCAGTCATAAGAGCTGTGATCTTGTGGACTTCGGAAGGGGGTAGATTCATGGATCGACCTTAGGAAACAAGCATCACCGAGAGCTTGTTTCATTTATCAGCTGATAGCCAGCTCTAAAAGCGAACAAGCATCATTTTCATCAGCAGCAGCACCGGTCTAAGCTCACCAAAAACATCCAAAAACCAGGCTGATAGCCAGCGAGTTTGAGCCTCGAATTTTATCTCCCATCTTATCGTCTTCCCCAGCACTATTACATGGCATCGAGAGCCATGGTCAAGGGCACTTTATTGCATCCAGAATTGAAAATCTGTCGCTACCCAACTTGCAGCCCAGTGCCACAAGCTGCTTCATGGCAACAAATGATGCACAATGCGTGTGTGCGTGTGTGTGTGTATGCATTGGTTTATTTTGTTCACAATGATGAAAAACTGTGCTCTTGCCCTGAAATCAGAGCTCATGTTTTGAGATGTTCGCAATTCCATACGGCTAAGGGGTTAAAACTCTGATACCCTGTAGTTCACACCAAAATAGCTGGTAAGTACATGTTCATCCCTCCAAAAAATGTATCATAGGAATATAGGATATATTTTGATCCATCCGCATATGCTCCATAGATCTCCATAGTACATTAGACTCTTTAGACTGGATGAATCATTACAACTTTGCGAAGGTACAGTACTGTCTGAGCCATTTTGACTGTTATTGGGCATACGTACCTGCTGGTACACTTAGGAACCCAACCAGCACTACCCCTTATTCACACCACCACCACCACCACCACCACCATCACCACCACCACCACCACAACAACAACAACAACAATCATCACAACAACGACAACGACAACGACAGCGACGACGACGACAACAACAACAACAACAACAACAACAA